TTGACTCGCATCCATAAGGATATAGACGAGTACTAATAAAGTAAAAAATAATCCATATTACTTTGTACAGTTTATTTATGTATGCACTAGAATTGAAATTGAGAATTGGTCGCTTTGCTATCCTGTTTTCTCATGTTTTCCTCATATTTCCTAATTTTTACTTGTTTTGTTTTTTAATTTAACCAGGCGGATGCGAGTTTTTGTATAGGGTTTTGTTGAATGCCAAACACACACTGAATTTGCACCCACATTGAAAGCTAGTATAATATCATGAAATCAAGCTACGTTTTCAATGTATCTATCCCTTATAAATCCATCCTTTCCAGCCTGCGTGAAGACAAAGATTCTCCTTTTTCCCCTAATCTCCTTGCATACACATACCAGCAATCACATTTCTCCACCGTTGAATCGCTGATGATGTAGCGCATTGTAAGCGAGATGCTTCGCCGAGTCTCTGGCGTAGGTCATCTCGCGAGTCCCTCCTGGGCCCCCATGCTTGCTCATACGTGAAATGAAATTATTATTAATGTCTGAAATGTATCATATGATACCCACCATTAGCTGTCTTTTGCAGCCTCTTACGCCTTCCATTTTTGACCGGAAAAGGGGTATTAAGGAGACGTTTCTGTTGGTTTTCCCTTCCTTGTTTTTATTTTCTATGAGGTTGGTTCGATTGGATTATGGAAAAATTGATATTACCGATATGCCTTGTAATATGAAAGCTTGACTTGAAATAACATCAGGCCTTTGTTTCGGCATCACTTTTGATTTTATAGTATTTGGGGCGTAAAATTGCTTTAAGTTGTTTAGTCATACGTGCCTTAGTGAAACCTATCAAACTTTATTGTAAAAATCATATATTCAGTCTCCTTTTGTTTCGATTATTGAATCAGTTTAGATGAATACCCATAACATTTTATAGGCCTATTGTTGCATGCGCCTTTTATTTGTATTCATGGTATACGTATACGTGATTTCAAACTAGAAAGGGATATGCATGGACAGTTGAAAGGACATTTTGCTGAATAATTGGGGCAGTCAAGTAGTTGACTGATATTTAGAAGACAACCAAACTAGAGTGTTTTGGGGCAAAATCATATTAATATAGGCAAGAACTCTATTCCTCTAAATACCCTGATATTCATTTCCTACAAGATTCCAATAAATTCTGGCGGGGGGGGGGGGGGGACATGATAGGAGATGACACGAAAACTAATACGCAATTAAAATTGAGGACTCCGTTAAAGTCATGTATACTATTAACGAAATGTTTCTTTACCAGCAGCCATTGTAGCATCATTTTCTCATTCATAATGGTGACGTGATCAAGTTGATTTTCCTCTGGACGATGAATCACACGGTATTGGCTCAAATTGGCTATGATTATAAAATATTAGAATTAGTAGTAGTAGTAGAAGTAGTAGTAGTAGAATTAGTAGTTGTAGTAGTAGTAGTAGTAGTAGTAGTAGTAGTATTAGATGTAGTAGAAGTAGTAGTAGTAGTAGTAGTAGTAGTAGTAGTAGTAGTAGTAGTAGTAGTAGTAGTAGTAGTAATAGTAGTAATAGTAGTAGTAGTAGAAGTAGTAATAGTAGTAGTATCATCATTCTCATTACTATTTTTATTTTTGCTTTTAATATCATTATTATAATCATTATTATCATTATTATTATCATCAATATTAATATTATCATCATCATTTTACCTGTACATAATTTCGGAAAGAAAGTATCCTATTAAAGCCTTATGTACAGTTGTATATGCCTGATAAGGTTTGGAACCTAGTACTAGTAACGTATATCTATTGTCTTTCATGCCAACTCTTAAAACCACAACACAAATCTTTTGAGTACGTAAAGCTCTTCGTAACCTATTCAAACACTTTAGGCGCCATCTTACGCCTATAAATCCGTCGATTTTCCCCATAAATCCATCAAGCAAATTAATCTCATCATTAACCTGTCTGTCATCATCCTACTCGGACACCGCCTCACCAGCCTTCTCAACGACTTGACCGACGACGATACGGGACACGTTGCTTATCTCTCCGAGATCGTGTTACCCGTCGATTAGGCCAATGGGTCTGTATCGTTTCGCGCGCTTGGGGGATGCCTGTCGTATCAGGGGGATGCCTGTGTTATCAGAGGCAGGGGTTGCTAATGGAGACCACGCGAGTATCACTCGATTGTGTGGTATGTGTGTTAGACTGCATGGCCAGATGTATGTGCTGGTTTTGTAGGTAATGCATGCGGTGGACCCTTTTTACATCGGGGGGGGGGGGGGGGGAGGCTAGTATAGGCTTGTATAGGAAACCCATCGCTTTCGGGAATGGGGAGGGGGGTGTTTATGTGTAGCAAACGTAGTTGTCGTGTGTGTTGTACTGTAGTTCAAATAACCAGCGGTTTCCCCGCAAACCGAGTGTGGGTTTGTGTTCGGCAAATACTCTACCTTATTTCCCCCTCATCTCACACACAAAATAGTATTGACTGACTGTGATGTTGAACACTAAACGGTCTATTTGTTTTTTTCTAAACATTTTAAACACGTTCAAAGTTTAAAGTGATTCTTCACCACAAAAATTGGCATTTATTTTTTGTTACATGAAGTAACTTCTGCCCATGTATTTTCCTTTTCAGATATTATACTGCTTATTTGAGAAAAACAAAAGGAAAGGTTATCAATGTACCTTTAAGAAAGAAATAAAAACCTGTCTGGAAAAGGGTAACCTAGAATTGTGATTGGTTACTTTAGTAGTCAAGAATCGACCACAAATTGTAGGTTATGCCCATACATATCGCAATGTCAATATTTCAATAGGTCAACAAAAACTCGTCAAATTGTCTGATCTTTGTTGACTTATCTATGCGACAACTGGCCTTATCGTTATTACTTCTATAATTTGTTTCTTGAAGTCGTTTAAGATACCACATCAAACTAAACCGCCGAGGAAAATGATTCCAAGTGCTGAATTTGTTGGGATAAAAATACAATTAAAATTCCTTTTCCTTGTCTGGTATCGTTGTTTTAAAAATACAAAAAGATGTTTGTGTAGTTATTTTTCATAAGTGGAATGGATAATATCAGATTTATATTGTTATTTTCACACCTCATGTACTATTTTGAAATAATAAATGCTAATACATCAATTATCAGTTACTTATACATTGTCGATAAAGTTCATACGTGATTTTCAACACATATTATATTCAATTCTATTTTTGTAGATGTGCTTGTAGTATACCATTTACCATTTACCATACGAACTACATTGATCAATAAAAGGGATGTCAGTCTATTTCTAAAACAGCCTCTTTAAAGTTTCAAAGCATAGTTTTGTTATAGGGTCATGAATTTGGTTCAAATGAACATATTGGAAGCATATGCGGTCCTACAATATTCAGTGATCGTTGTCGCGGTTGAAATCGAGTCTAAAGTTATAAAATTGTAAATAATAAACTCTTTTTGTTGTATAGCTCCCTCTCAAGGTCAATGTATTAATTAAGAAAGAAAGAAAAAAAAAAAGTTTCTTGACTAAAATCGATAGATTAGCTATTCCCGTTTGGAAATTATATATCACAACTACACATTCTGAGATTTTCATGGTCGCAGCTACCATTGTACGGCCGTAGGTGCTATTTGAAATTCATCAAATTTACCGGGAGCACCGGTACATTTTTACATTCATTTTTTCTCGAAAGCAGAAGACTATTTTAGGGGCTAAATTTTTTAGTGCTTATATTATCATCCTCAGGGGCATCTAAATATATCAAAATTGTAAAGAATCACCATCCACCCTATTTTCAAAATTCCCCAAATCTTTGTATTACCTTTAAAACGTTCACCATGATAAACTAATTGGTCTGACCACGTGCATGCCTGTCTGAGAGCCGAAAGTCAAAACAAAGATAATGCCCAGGGGAGTTTAACATTGCAAAATGTGTAAAGTCATAAATATCCTAAGCACTTGTAAGTGGTAACAAAATCTTAGGCATTTTAAAAGCAAATATATGATATATAAGCAGTCGCCTTTGTTTTTGTTTCTATGAAAGAGGACTTGAAAGCGTTTGAGCCCCGGAAGAAATATATATCTCAGAGACTTGCAACATTAACTTTGAAATATAAGATTACATATGCCTTCTAAACTGAATAATACTGTGTTTAATACACTTAAAGAAGTATGTTTTGATTTGAGGGCGAATACATTTGGATATATTTTAATACGTTTGAAGAAAAGAGTCAGGTTTCGTCATTTCAAGTGGTTTCAATTGTCATGATTAAATTATTATGTTTTTAAAAATTTATTTGATGTTATTGTTTGATGTCATTTTTTTGCTGTTACAGTTTGTTATGGCTGAAGATTTTTCTATTTTACCTTTTTAATTTTACCTCTGTTTCCAACAACACATGATAACCAAGTACTAAATGTAGGGTTTGAACATGACTTTAGAACAACACACCCCTTCCATGGAGAAGGATAAACAAGACTTGAGCAAGGACAAAGACATCCAAACATACACAGATTCACAATCTCCCTGTTAGTACTGCTGCAAATGGCTGCAAATGGCAAATATATCGCGGTAAAATAGCACGGGCACTACTCTCCTTGTCGGGGGGGGGGGGGGGGGGACCAGTCTTATGAAGTGGGGAAATTGAACTATTGGTTGCAATAGGGAATTCAGAATATGGGACGAAGAAACTAGAATACCAATTATGAAAGGATATGAAATGGTATCCTATTGTGTTTCCTCTCTTTAAAAAAAATATATATCCTATTGTGTTTCCTCTCTTTAAAAAAAATATATATATTACTTTTTCCCTCTCACCCCCCCCCCCCCCCCCCTTACTTCCTTTTCTTTTCGACATTCGATTGGGGAACGTATTTCCCCTTGCCTCCGTGTCTACGCCACTGCTATGATACATCAGAGTCAGCATGAATCATGCGGCACTCATACAACATAATAATCGTCATAATTATCTCCATTTTCATATTTGATATCTTGCAGACGGCAAGAGAGGGCGGCAGACATACACGCGACAACAGACGCTGGAGCTGGAGAAGGAGTTCCACTTCAGCCGTTACGTCACGCGACGACGTCGCTTCGAGATCGCCCAGAGTCTGGGACTCAGCGAACGACAGATCAAGATCTGGTTCCAGAACAGGAGAATGAAATGGAAGAGGGAACACGGGTCCAACTGCAGCATGACGAACCAGCAGGATCAAATGCCCAGCATGGCCGACTTTATCGGCTCGTAGTCTTTGACCTATTAAAAGTGACGTCGAAAGCCAAAAATGAACAGTGGACTTTTAAAAAAGAACTACATGTACATGGAACTAAGTGAAATACTTTATAAACTTTAACTGATTTTTACCATGTGAATACAGTGAAGGTCATTTTTTCCTTCGAGAAAAAAAAAGATAATCATAAAATTAAACTGAATTTATTAGAGTTCATTTAATGAAGCAAATTTGTTTATTATGCCTGTGTCACATAACACTATTACGGACACTGATCAAGTTCATAAGAGTTAAGAATTTAAGAATTGAGTTATGGCTGTCAGCCTTTTGGTCCAGTAAATAATTTCGTCTGTTTGGAGCGTTAACTCATATACTATAACACAAAGAGAACACATTTCTGGCTCTGAAAAACAAATCACATGTCATAGTAATTAAAAGATGCTTTGTTATCAGTTTTGGAAACATGACGCCCCTCCTGCAAGTGGTCTGCTTTGTAATTTACTGTCTATGGGCGTCACATTGAAAGAAGGCATGTATATCGTCTCTTGGTATAAAATAATTAACTTCTTTCTCAATTTGTTTTGAAAGACCAAAGTGAGTAGACAAAAATCGTGTTACCTCTCATTTTAGCATTTACAAATTGAAGTAATACATTAATTTAACGCATGTCGATATTGCAGTATATTTATTTAGATTTGGGTGATTTTTTTTTTGCTATTGGTATTTCATAATTCCAAGGGACTGCTTGTCACGCATTGGCCCCATCTCGTTCACCTCGATTATTGTGTGCAGACTCTACTTGGATTACTTTGATAAATGCAATGAAATATTTTTAATCAATACGAATCAATTTAAAGATTTTATTTCAAAAAAGTTAACGAACTTGTGTTAAATTTGAAGAAGAAAAAAAATTATATTTCATAATCCCAAAAACAATGCTGCCAGAACGCTGCGACATTTACGTAATGCTGAAAGCAATATTTCTTCGATATAATATGCATGACATATTATATGAATAACTTATCATATTCAACAATATGTAATGATTTCATATTTTATTGACATCATGATGAGTATATCAACAAATCATGAACTCCAATAAATAGTTTATATGTTAATATTAAGAGTGGATACTTTATATAAAATATTTCGTGAGCAGACCCTAAGCTAAATCTGATAAATCATGTTGCCCTTCTGTATTTTACCGTTGTATTCATCTCTTTTAATGAAAACATGATCACAAAGGCTTTCGAGAAATCAAGTAACAAGGCAATTTCAAAACTATATGGTAGGCCTATTCCCCAAATAGTTTAGGTTCAGATTATGTGATACATCATTTTAATGTTGCACATATCAAAAGGTCACGGACAAGAGTTTTATCAAAGTTATGTCCTTGTTGTTTTCTCGAATGTCTTTGCGATCGTCTACTTCCAAAATAAACATGTAAAACTATAAATTTCACCTAAGTGATATTGATACACATGGAAGGTAGAGTACTTAGGAAGCTATGGACTGGTATGGAGATATTATGTAAAAAATAGTCCATGTAAATAACTTTTTTTATAACTATACATTACTACATTATTGCGATTGTACAGACCATAGTTGTAATCATACTTATGTCAAGAACGTGATTAATGTACAAATTTGATAACTTATATCGAAAAGTCTTCTTGTATATTCACTGAATACGCACAAGCGGTTACTGCCCGTCGACAGAAATAATTTATCTTAACATTCTGAAATATTAAACTGTCTTTATATGCCCAACCTTCTTATTCAATATTATTAGTGTGTCTCCAGGGAAAAGTACTACTTTGATTATCATAATAAACAAATAGCTCACATTTATCATGCGCCCAATACTTTGTTTATTTAGGCGCAGTACATATTATTACCCCGGTCATCGGATTCAGTGTTACCTGTACACATGCACATTTTCCACTCCCTGGGGAGCATTCCGGCCAGTCGCCATTGCTCATCCAACCACATGAACTTTCGCATCCTACCGGGTACCCATTTAACACCTGGGTGGAGAGTGGCAAATGTAGATTAACATCTTGCAAAAGGGCATTGGTGCTGTGTCGGGGATCGAACCATGAACTTCGAATTTCAAGTCAAGTGCTTAAACCACTCGACTCCGACACTTTAGCAAGTGCTTGGTGGTGAAGTTGATTGAAACTTACATTATGTTGCCTCAAATCAAAAGAGAAACTACCTTTCGTTCAATAATAACGTTTTTTAAAGTATTGTAAAGCCTCAACCGCCGAGGAAAAAAGCCGTTGCTTAAACAAAATATTACGTGTACAGTATATGAATGGCAACTGCGCCCAATAAACTGCCCTGCACGTAATTATCCCTGAGCTCTGTGTGTTAAGATACATAAATGTGATGCGTATTGCACTTTACGTCAGCATACAAAAACACCGCAATTTCTGCCACGTCATATCTGTACGAGGCTATAATAATAAGTCAATTTATACCGCAGCAAGAATACATTTAAAAACCATGGACATCATCAAATACATGTACACATGGAGAAGGGTGGTTTCACCATAATTATCATTTTTCACTACCTATAATTATACTATTGCTTTCCAGGAGGTTTGTGACCGATTTTCTATTTTGTTCCCCTGCATGTTGTATTTCCAAAACTGAAGATTCAATAGTTGAAATCTTATGACCTACAATACACTACAGCGCACTGGAACAAGCATTGCTGCATTGGTCAAATTTATTCAAATTATTTTGTGCGATGTAAAAATATTCAAAATAAAATAAGAGGCTTTTGTACATGATGGACATGTCAGGTGTTGTCATTTTAATCATATCAGTGGAGGTTTGTGAAAATATCTATGTATAATGATTACTCACTAACAAAAGATAATTTAACACAATTAACAAATATTTATTTTTTAATTTTAATAATTTGATGAGTGATAACGATACAAAGTTGAAGATTGTGAGTATCATGATAGAGAATTATGATGGAATGTTGGTGAGAGAGAAAGAGAGAAAAGATCTAAGGTAAGGAGGAATTATTCTAAAGTAATGGAACAAGGTAAACAAAAATAGGATACAGACGAAAAGCCTGCAGTTAGTTTTTTTCTGACAGAAAAGTAAAAGCCTAACAGACTTTAAAATTGGCCAACCACGTGTAACAGCGTGAATTGATTGGAAAGTAAATTTCAATTGAGGAATCAGACTAGTTCTATTAAAAACAAAGGATGGACGGTTAAACATATTAAAGTGAAAATAATCTTGAGAAGCTCTGAAAGGAAGTTGGTTGGTTGGTTGGTTCTTCGTTTAGATGGCGCTCTTCAATCTCAAAGATTATTTTGAGTGAGTGAGAAGAGAAGTCGACCAATAGAGGGCGGATAACTAGAAATGACAGGAAAAGATAATAGGGACATTTAGATTTGCAAGTCGACATAGAAGACTACTACGTGTGGCGTTCTTTTAAGGCACTGGCGGTGCATTTAAAGGACGTCACCCTTGAGCGCCAGGGGTTGGGGGGGGGGGGGGGGGCAACTCCCCAAAAAGGTAAAATGAACTTGTTTTTACCCGCCCCCCCCCCTGGATCCACCACTGGAGGAGGAGATGGGGAGGGAGGCAAAGAGGGAGACAGGGAGAGACAGAGACAGAGCCAGAGAGAGGGAGAGATTGGTTTGGTTGAACCAAAAAACAGACTGTACGCAGAAAGGATAGTACGAACAGAAAGGATAGTACGAATGCACAGAAAGAAAGACGCGAAGAGCAGATATAAAGGGTTTAAATTGTATAAAATAGTGCATGGAATGATATATGGTGGGTTTAGAAAGTACTTTGTTATTAAAGAATATCATTATAGCTTGAGAAATGCTTATAATACCTTAGAACTGCCAAAACCACATGAATTTCAAGAAAAGGAGCTTATGTTATAGAGGCATTAAATCTTGGAATCAGCTACCTATGAACGTAAAAACTTTCTCTGTATTTAAATCAAGGGTAATATAAATATTAATTTTATATTTTGTTCGCTTAAATATATATTTATATAACTATAACATCTAAATAAACGCTGTTTGGAAAGAATAACTACCGACGGGGGGGGGGCTGGGTAGTAGTATCTTGGTTTGTAAATTTTCATTTTTGTTTGTATACTTATGTTCTTGTTTTTTTTTTTTTTTTTTTAATATTTCATATGTTATGTGTTATCTTATAATTGTACATGCAATTTTTATATTGCGCACGGACCAACAGAGGAACAGCCTTTGGCTGAAGATTGGTGCCGTGCAAAAATAAAATAAACTGAACTGAACTGAAAGGGGACAGAGAGAGATAGGGAGAGACAGAGACACAGAGAAAGTGAGAGAGGGAGAGATTGGTTTGGTTGAACCAAAGAACAGACAGTACGCAGAAAGGATAGTACGAAGGCGCAGAAAGAAAGACGTGAAGAGCAGATATAAAGGGGGGCAGAGAGAGATAGGGAGAGACATAGACAGAGAGAAAGGGCGGTGAGAGATTGGTTTGGTTGAACAAAAAAACGGACAGTACGCAGAAAGGATAGTACGAGGGGAAAAAAAGACGTGAAGAGCAGATATAAAGGGGGGGGGCAGAATAATTCGGTCAATACAGCAGGAGACTGAATTAATAACTGCGCCATCTGTCGACGTGCATCGCTGTCGTTTTGGAATCTGCTCGCCCTTCATAATATTTCTCAAACAATAACTTCCCCTATCAAAGCTTCAAAGTAACCATTTCTTGAATCTAAAATGATTATTTTTTTCTTTCTTTAACACTCGGTACTTTTAGTGACAATTCAAGCCTTCTCTGGCAGAGGGAACAGGAGGGGTAGGGTGGGAGAGGGGTTGCACAGGGTCTGAGAAACACAATCTCTTCGCCAGCTGGTGTTTCGCAGAGATGAAAAAAGAGACCAATATAGTGAAACACAAAAGCGATCTCATGATTGATCAAGAACGATTGATAACAGCTCAATGATTTCAAAATATACAACGACGATTTAAATGAGGATAATAGCTACCTTTCTCTAAAGTTCCATAGTTTGATCTTCCAGCTATTATCAATTTAAATTTAAATTAAAGGTATTACAAAGTTTTGGGAAATTTTGAAAAATGGGTAGATAGTGATTCTTTACAATTTTGATATATTTGGATGCCCCTGTGAATGTTTAAAGCAC